TAAGTTCGTTGAAGAATAGACCGAGTTGACCTGTCGTCGATTCTTACATTGCTTTTGACTCGTCTCGTGGAGATCTGGATCTCGCACTTTGAGCAGATCTATCCAAAACTGACGTTGAAGTTTAGTAGCGGCTGAAAATCCACCAATTTGTGAGGTGGAAGACACTTCCAAGTAAAAATCTATATACTCCTGCATAGCTTCATCTAGTCTTTCTTGAACGAACGCGCTCCTATTCGGTGCGTCAAGGTTGAAAGCAGGGAGGCTGTTCCACACGTCGGTGACTCGCAGCGTCAAGAAATGTTATCGCGTGCATGAGTTGCACCGCAGTTTTTAGCACATTTTCTCTTTAAAAAAAAAATGCACCATTGTGCTCGCCATGTCCGTCTGTCTGTCCGTCCGTGACCACGTTTTCGTCGACGAGAAAATGCGCTCTCACTGCAGTGAGTACTCACTGCACTGCACTCCGTCACTGAGTGAGTACTCAGTCACTCACTGCAGTGAGTACTGAGTTATATTTTTTTATTCAACAGCCGTGCTCCGTGGTGTTGGTTCTTGTTTCGAATTCTAGTAATGCTTCTGGGACCTTGTATAAACCATGAGTATACTTTTATACTTTAATGAGGTCCCCACGCAGATGTCGATAACAGAGGCTTGGAAGCTTCATAATCGTTAATTTTTCTTCTAACAGATGCTCCGCCGTGGGTAACTAATTTTGAACAATTTACAGTTACTCGCTTACTCGTTTCAGAAGTAGAATCTCAGTGACCGGTCTCTGTCAAGGATAGCACCATAGCTGCCGCTTCTCATTTCAGATATGACCTCTCTTTCATCTCGACTCCCTTATTTTCTACCTTTCTTGCTTTCTTTTCCCTCTTCTAGTAAATGTGTTCTTTTCTGAGCTCAAGTCTGCGCAGCTGATGCGAATAAAATACTCGCTGCGGTAACAGATGACCAATCAAACCATTATGATCATTCGCAGATACATAATTGCAGTATTTGATGATATTGTAGCGACCATGTTTATATATATCCTCCAGTTACCCCCGCAACTCATTTTCTAGGAACGTTGCTAGCCTAGTGAATTCTAGCAGAGTTACCCACCAACTCTAACTAAACATTATTAGCCATGTAGGGCCTTAAGCATCATTATCAATTAGCAACTGCAGTTGATGTTCTGTTAAATATGATTTAGCTACATATGCATATTATTAGCACTGACCTAAGACGTTGCAATGTTAAGTAACTCCTGTAGTCATAATCATTTACAAATCTATAATACAGCGCGTAACCTGGTCTCCAGACCTAGTTCCAGTAAAGGAGGAGAACTCCTACTGTGTTTCATTCCCCAATATGAAACACAATTGTAAGACGCTAGCGCAGTCTGGCCTCTGACTTACACGCCTTAGCCGAACCACAGGGCGTTTGGTACAAACAAACGTTTGGCACGAGTCACAGACCTTAAGAGACTCAATACCGCGCCGCTAGCAATCCCACGTCTCACAATATCTTCATGCAACTGCTGTTGTTCGACCTCACACTCGCCTCAAATTGAGTATTTGAACTATCGCTCAATCAAGGCATAATATTTAGACAAATTTAGACATTTATAATAGTTTTTTGACTTCTTTCTGGTCATGATCAATACAAGAATAACAAGTAGCGCAAAAGTTGAACACCAACAACGGCAAGGCATCCAATCAAGATGTATGATAATGATCTCCAAGCGGTAAAAATAGGTAGAGGGATATTTTATTTTTAAGAATATTGTATTTGCAAAAAATTGCGATGAGAACAATGTCGAATTTTCTAACTTTGGATTTTTGGTAAAATCATGACCTGTCAATGATTCCACCATAAACTTAGTGGAGGTTTTTCAAATGTCCTCCGCACAGAATGAGGTGACCAAGATTGAAGCAGTGAGTTGCGGGTTCGATCCCAGCTCCCTGTGACGAATTGACGAGTTGGCCAGGTGGTTTATAAAACCAAATTGGGAACAGTTAGTTGGTTTGAAATAATGGAAAGATGTAAAAAATTCTGTGATGTGTAGCACCGCTGCAAGAACAGAGATTATTTGTTAGAATTTTATTTTATTCACATATTTCTAAAAATTTACTGGGTTGTCCTGCGGCTATACAAGAAATTAATAGTTATGTACTTTTAAACTATGGTTTCAGCACAAAATTCAGTGGTACAGTAGGTTCAGAGGGCCACTTTTTTGAATAATAAAAAGCGAAAATTTGACTAAAAATTTGATCGCAAATGACCGACCATAGAATCGTTATATGGCAAACTGCAAAGTAATTTTTCGTGGTGAAAACTATGCCATCACACATGACACACACACATCATAGAGCAAAAATTGCTTCAAGAGTTTGGACTTGGGATTGAGAGAAGTTGAATGGTTTTGGTTTGGGCCTTTTAACGAGCGGATTTGGTCGTTTTCTCTTTCCTTCATCTGGCAACCTTCAGGTTCATGTTTACAGGTTACATTCCATTCCTATTGTCGACACGGACGCCACCGATGCGTTGAACCTTTGATATGTGCGTGTGTGTTGCTTTCGTTGTTACTGTATGAGCAATCCGTATGACCACTATGTAATTTCCAGCCCCAAGTAAAGATATTTTTCGTCAATAGTAATGGATCGTTTAACAGTAACATCTGGCTTGCTGTTCTTGGCTGCTGACATTTTTGCATTACTTAGTTTGGCAATGCCAGACTGGATTGTTTCCTATGTTGGAGGTAAGTAGCCTAGCCACTGTGTCATAGTCAGACTGTCACTGTCAGAGTGTCAGTGCAGTGTGTGTCTGCGTCGCGGCGTGTGGTTATTTAGGCTATCCTATGACCTATGTACTGTTTCACTGAATCTTGGTGCAAGACACGGTCACGATGACGAAGTGACAAAAGATTTGGTATTATTGCAGATTAACTACATCCAAAAAAAAGGGTGTTTTTTTTTTGAATTATATGTTTTTTGGGGTGTAGATTACAAATCTGAAATCCATTTTTGGCGGTCGGCATCATGCTTAATTATTTCAAGCTTAGTCTCCAAAGTGATATTTTTACGTTTAAGCGTTCCCTTTTTGTCCATAATTATGACGGTAATTTATCAAGGAAATTTATGTAGTTTGATAAAAGTGAGCAGTAGATATGGCAGCGATCTTGACCAGTTGAAGGCTAACGAGTAACTAGAGCACCGGCATGACGCACTTACTGGCGAACGTTGCCGAACTCAACCATTCGAGTTATGAACGAGACATGGCGCGGTTAAACCGACTCTGTAGTCAGCACGAGTGCCTACGGAACGGGACCTTATTCAAAGAAATATTGGCTGAAATTCATAAAGTAACAACATTTGGCAAATTTTTCCAAAAGTCGTAACAAAAGTAACAACATAAGATTTAATAAGCAAAAAGTAACTCTTTTGTTATGAACGTAACACCTCTGGCTAGAGGCGGGAAAATGATGCGTTGTGAAAAAAAAGTCTTTGTAATCAAAACTGGCACCCCGTAGATTAAGGGTAGGTTGCAAATTTTTTTTCCGCGTTAATCAAAACTGCGGTATTCAAAACCGTGCTAATCAAGGTATTGATGTATTTATGCTTTGGAGCAGTGTGATTTAAGCTTCATGAATTATCTTAGCTCCTTTAGTCTGGTTAAAAAAATATCAACTTTTGAAACTGTTAGAAAAAGCTATCCAGCTATTTAAAAAAATGAAATTCTAGCCCAAAGAATGATCTGTTATATTGCTAATAAAATTGCATGATTGAGCAATAGGTCCAAAGGCTGTCAACCATAACAAATGTCTGTTTCAATATTTCAAAATCTATATTGATTTGATATATATTACCTAATATAGTCTGTTCAATGATGCAGAATATTGTGACATCTAAAACACCTTAGATGCCTAGCAAAATGTGGATTGTTTATTTATGTTTTTGAATAAATGAATGTATGGTGCATGGAGTATGAAAATGGGACAGGAGATTGGTGTGCCACCCTATTCTAATTACAGCAAATTCTCAATATTCCTATTGTATACCGGTATGTTGTGCATATATGATCATCTTTGCAATTCATTGGAAACTTTGTCTATTGCGTCTTAGTATCATAGTATCAGGGACTATGATGAATTCAAAGACGCATTATTTGCTAGATCAACACCATTAATTAGATTTTTCAAGCTTTGGTATATATTTTGCTTTTCTCCTCACCTCAAGAAATGCATTTCTAGTTGGCAACATGGGGTCAGCAAGTCTTAGTGATAATTTTCTAATTTCATTGCTATTTATTTTTCATTTCATAATCGGCTGTAGATTCTATTTACTATCTTATAGATGATGTTGATGGTTTGCATGATATGTGACCTGCTGATTTGTGTGACTCTTGATTATTAAAATTTCCCTAGAAGGAATGATTACATAAAAAGTTCACATGTTTGCTGCTATGCTTGTGGTATATTTTTTTTATGAGCAGAGCACAGCTTAGCATCTGCCAGCCTCGATTTATGATTTCTCTTTTGTTATTTATAAATACATTTGTTTGCTTTTTTAACATTTATATTAACATGTGATTAGACAAGATAATCAAACTGTTCTATAACAGAACCATATTTAGTTTTGTGTCATAAATTCATAATATATTTCTAAGAAATTAATGTAATACTTACGGTACTCTTTTGTGAGCTTGGAACATGCGACCAAGTTTCAACTCAATGAAATAGTACCTATGCTCACTAGGTATGTCAAAAACTGGGTGTTGATAATCTCTATGTCTAGGACTTTAATAAGCTTTGTTCTAGGCCTGAAATATAAAAATCAGAATGAAATGTTCTTCTACTTTGTTTGCAAATCTTCAATCCATGTAGTCAAATTATTCCATAACTTTTGGAAATATACGTAGCATATGTACATTTTTAGTTTTATTTATTTTGGTCAATATCTTACTGTAGTCCATTATATGACTTTTCCAATTTTTGCTTCGATTTCTATCCTCTGGAGTAATAATTTTTACTTCTCTGCCTAGACTTGCTACTCTCCCAGCCTTGGCAGTGCTTGGCTGGTCACCCTGACATGTGTCCTGATGGGCAGCGTGTGTGTCACAGCCACCATAGCGCTCCTGATGCTCTCTCACTGTTACCGCACTACCCGCATGATTATCCACGCTCGCTGGGTGGGCTTCAGTGCCAGTAAGTCCATTTTAAATCTAGCATCATTACATAAGGTAATTGTCACTGTGAATATTTTTACATGTTAATCAATTTTGAAAACTTCCCATCTTCTACTCATTGTAATTCAAACAATGTTATCATCATTCCTACATTTTTGATCCTGGCATTCATTTTTAAATGTAATGACTTGTTCATATATTTTCAAAATTTTCTTATATAAAATTAAAATCTAATAAAAAACCCAATGAAATTGAAAATTTTCAAAGTTGCTGGTTTTAGCATGTCATATTCATCAGTCAACTGAATGAAAATTGCCCATCAATATAAATATTTATTGAAATTATGTTTTAATACTCTTCATAACTCTTTGATTGTGCTTTGAACTGAACTAACTAAACTTTTTATTAAATTTTTCCAAAACTAATTATTATTAATTTGCAGTGGTAATGTTCTGCTTGGCTGCTGTAATATTTCCCATGGGCTTCCACATAGAAGAAATTGGAGGGGAGCCTTACCAACTTCCTAGCAGCTTCCAGGTATGCACTTGTTACAGTAACTGTATAGTGTATATACGTATATTATTACTCATTGTGAAGGCATTAATTCTTGATTCTTCGTAATTTATCCCCCTTTTCTCATTGAAATGCATTTACTTTTCAATATTTATTAACATGTCTGTGTTTCCTATTTAAAACATGTTTTTTCTCATATAGGTACATTTTTTGTTCTGTTACTTTGACTATTTCTCAATATTCCTTTTTTTTGGTCCTATAAAAAGTCATATTCATATGACTTTCGTTTTTTTATTTTGCCGTTATTTTATATTTATGTACTCATTTATATTTTAAATGTACCCGCTTTTTAATTTGTCACATGTCATCCATTCTTAATTCACCTACACTCTTTCTCTGTGTAGTGTCCCTATCTTTCTTACTTTGATTATTTTCAACCTTTATTATTTAAGTGGCTATCAATCTGTCGTAACCGGCAGGTAATTGCATTTTATTCTTATGATTATTTGCCTAATACTTACATAAGCAAATCAGATTCCTCTAAAGTTGTTTAAGTTTGTTTGCCATTTTTTTCTTCCTCTTACATTCACCTGGGAAAAAAAGTGTAATTTCAAATGATACTGATATATACAAATGATATAAATATATATCAAATGATATAAATGTATATGCTGATATATATTTCTCGCAGGTTGGCTACTCGTACATATTCTTTGTGCTGGCGCTGTGGATGACAGTTGTATCGGAGCTGTTTGCTGGCAAGGTTTGTTTACCCCATTTTTAGCGGTTAATAAAACCAACCGTCCTTCTGCTGCTCGTCATGATCTTCAGCTTCCAGGCCACTGCAAGCGTCTCGCTTCTCAACTAACTAAATAAATTTATTCATTTTTGTATAGGGAAATATGAATTTATTAATTTATTGACCTGAAAAACAATTTGGAACGTTTACATTTGGTTTGTTCATGAAAATTGCTTTTTGGAGTGTGAAGTTTAAAGTTGTGTCTTAGCCTTTCTTATTCATCAGATTTAACTCACGAGAGGCCAAATTGAATCTAGTATTTTGCTTAGCGTTTGCCGGAATAATGGGCAACCTCACAGCATTTGAAAAGTTTTCGGGCAGTCACAGCATAGCATTTGCTTAGCAACGCTACAAATTTCATTATTATTTGCTTCGATGATTTTATTCTGTGACCATTGAAGGTGCAGTTATAAACAAGATTAATTATCTGTGATATTGTTGCATGAATCCTAATTTTTAAAGTTTCACTTGTAAACACAATAACTATGTCCATTGAATTTGCCGGTGAAAATTGTCTAAACTTGTACTTATGTTTATTAGTGGCCATGTCGATCAGTCAAAATCCTTGATTGTTTTCTTTAGTCGGCAATCAATAATGTGAGCTAAGTTTATGAAGGAAATTTTAGTTTTGTATTGATAAATGACAAAGAGTATCTTCGATACGCACCTTGAATGTCCGCTGTATGCAGCATAAGTTATCTATTCCAAGTAGTTATGGTTTCGTTTTATTTATAGTGTGTAGTGAAATTTGTAATTTCTTCACTGAAGCTTTATGTTGCGTATTTTTTTTTTATTGTCACTGATACCTCGTTTCTGCCTGCTGTTCCGAATGCCATTGCCTTGATTTCACACGTTGAATATTTTACCATCAGTCACAGGAGCTACTGACACTAGTCTTTCCGTTTGTCGCGTGCAATAATTTAGCTGGTTTAACTACAAAATTAAAAGACTAACAATTTTTTGTTTCGCTCCACTCTCCAGATAATCTGTCCCCGTCTCGGAGACTTATGACCGAAGTTTGCATTCCCGATTTGACTATTTTTTCGGAGGTGCAGCTGATCTTGCTTGTGATGATCTCCTTTAGAACATCAGTCAGCATTTTCATGCTGAAAGTCATCCCTAGATGAGTATTTTTGTACCGGAGTTATTAACCACTTCCCAGCATTGTCTTTATCATATCATTGTTTTTTTTTGTTGTGAAGTAAACTTTAACAATTACCATGTAACCGCATGCGATTTTGCTCAATACTTCAATTTGTTTTCATTATAGCAATTTATTTTCATGATGCTTTTGGCTTTAGTTAGAACATATTTTACCACCTACTGCATTTCCTTTTTATATAGATTAGAAAATTCGAATACATAAACAATTGCTTATTTGTTGGATACATTCAACGAGTTCAAGACTTGTTGATCTCATTGAATAGATTGTTGGGCATCAGAAGAGAGAAATACTAGGTTATTTTCATCTCTCGTTGCCAAAGTGTGATGTGTGGCCATTATTGCAGCTTTAAATAAAAGCTGTCTCACAGATTCTCTATGTCTGTAGTGTTGTATACGTGTATTTGCGTGCTTATAATATAAGAAATGACCCACTGTCGACTTGAGCATTAATAATCATCGCTGGATATTAGTTGTAAGGCATCTAATCATCTATGTAGAGCGTCGTGCCGAGACTTTCGCAACTTAGACGATTTACGAGAGGATCTTTTGTAGTTTATGTAGAGTGCTTTGTCACCCCCGAAATGATTTTCGTTGCGGATATATCCTATCTTGTTGAATTAGTCGAAACATTGAGTTGTGTTTTTCTGTAATATTATTATATTGTGACATTGAATGTGTTTCTTCATGAATTTATTTTCCATATTTGGCTGCAATATACGATCGGTAATGCATTTGAGAAACAAATTTTATATAAGCGAGTTACAGTCCATAATGCACTACCACTGATTAGAGCAAAATCTATCCGAAAACACGAACTTTTTGCCACCGTAGAATTGTGATAGCCCGCCTGATCCTGTCATCGTTGTTCATATGGTGGAGGGCACAATATACCAACAACAGGAGTTGCATGAAATAAGAGAACAGCATCTGGAATGAGAAAGTCAGTGATTACAGTAAGCAGCATCAACTGTCTGAGTGGCCGAGTGTTTATGATCGGCAAGACAGGAGCAGCAAGTTATGGGTTCGATAGAATCGATACTCACAGCCAACTATGCCAATTCTGGTCGAAATTACCAAAGCGGCCGGGCTGTAAAGGGTAGCGAGCTAGGAGCACTGCGTGTCCGACACTTGCAACAATCAGTTATGATTTACAGTGAATTAGTGATGTTTAGAACCGGCGTGAGGCCCGATGTCCTAATCTTCAACGCTGACCACGCTACGAAATAACTATTTATTGTATTATTTCATTATATTATCGGTGAAGGGGGGGGGAATCGGACAGACATGCCATACCTTCATAAAATTGGAACAGTAAAAATATTACGCACATATGTAATTTTTTAAACGTGTTATTAGAGACAAATCTTAGGCCAGTCAATATTTTTGAGTCTTGCTTCGTTTATATCTGTAGTAAAAAATGACTGAACTGCACTGACAAATCTATGTCGAGACCCACACCCAGTAGCTAGGAAAGAAAAGGAGGCTATTGCATATCAGTTACAAAATTAGTCGCGAATCGTAGACCATGGGATCGAAAAAAATACAATTCGGCCATTTTCCTATGTCGGAACCACTTTGCCTTGCTAGAATAACATTATAAATATCTGCTTTATAGTGGAAAAAAATCCCAAATATCGTAAAGTTTAGAGTAAACGCTCAAAAGAATCATATGACATACACCGAAAGACATAAAGCAGCTTGTAAGAGGTTGCATGTTAGAGGCCAGCATTGCCCAATACCGTCATCACTTTCATATTCTTCCCGTGCGCAAGCGTGTTACTGAGTAGCTTTAGAACTCAAGTGCTAGGAGCCATAGGCGCCGTAAGCCAGCAGCCACTGCTCTTCCTCTACACCTGTCCCGACTCTCCACCCAAATAAACCTTTCCTGACCTAACCTAACATCATTGGCTGCAGCAAGTTGGGGAGGTAGGCGCGTGCTGGGGTGAGATGCCGTGAAGACTACTGGTTGGAGCAGTGGCTGCAGCAGGTCGCGGAACTGGTATGGCTTGCGTTGTGTCTAACGTGGTCTGCGACTTCGTAACTCGGAGGCTGAGCATTTTTTATACAGAGCGTTTGCTACAAGGCTTGTTTAAGAACTAAATTTGTGGCTGATGGCTGCGCATCCCTTGTAAGCTCAACACACCAACTTATTATAATTAAAGCTAAATTTTCCCGTGCTGCGTATAGTATTTCATAAGGAACACCTTATACTATAAAATTTCATCTTGGGGTATTGAAGATGATGACTTGGACAAAATAATGTGGGATAAGCGAAATAATATTCTTTTCTATCCGTTATTCACCTTATTAATAGTATTTAAGTGGAAACGAATACTAGGGCTATCTCACACCAAGTGATGCTTTTTTGAGCTGTTCATTACACTTATTGTCATTGTAAAATGATTATTTTCGACATTGATGTCGCTGGCAAGAGAGATATGGTGGCACGTCAACCGGCACGCAAGACTGCGCTAGCAAAACTCGAATTGTAGCCTCACGCCACTTGAATGCATTTCAGAAGAATTTGACCAGTTAGCAGGCGTATGGCAGAGATCGACGGAGTGCTAGTGTCATGGCAGGCTGGGAGGAGACAGAGGAGTCTGGCAGCTATTGAGAGGTAATAATTTGGCTCTTCGAGGCCAGTCGTGGTGGAGGGCCTGAAAGCGTGATGGTCGTTGTACGGTGATCGACGTGTGTCCGGAGCGAGAAAGAATCACGGTGGCTTCATAAGGTGAAAATGTTAGAAAAATGAAGTGAAATTCCCTGATGTCTGGCGCCTCGGTATTTGATTTATGATGATGAGGTTCCTTCTTCAAGTTTGTAGAGTGAACATTGTGAGGGTTGACAATCAAAAGAAATAATGTATGTTAAAGTGCAAGAGAACTTGGACAAAAAAGAGCCTTTATTAACGACTGAAAATAAAGTGGGCAAATATGACATTTGGGTTTCTTTGGCTTGAAACATGCAAGTCATTGGCAGGCATTAATATAAATGATACAGATAATATCCAGAATTTAAACATACACGTACTTTTTAATAAATGTTCCATTAAATGATCCACTTTACAAAGATTTGCAGTTATCCCGCAGGTAGCGCATATTTAAATGCATTTGTTCTCGACATGTAAATAACATAGAAATTTCCAAGTAGATAAATAATGTTATATGCAAACAAGGTTCTAGGTCCTTGAAACTACCAACATCACAGCCTCCATGGCTTCACATTAGTCAGTATATTCTCCCAATAATGCCTGGATAAAAAGGGTCACAAATGATTTGTTGCCTAACAAGAACCAGAAAATTGAAAGTGGCAAAGCAACAAGACGCGGATCAGATAATTTTAGTGGAAACGGATCTAAAAATTATAAACGTAGAATGTCATAAAGACGTTTGTCAAAATACTATTAGTTACTACGCATGACGTGGTCATGAATCACAGAAAAAACAATTTATTATTTAAACTATCAAGATTGATAGTTCAAATAGTAAATAAGCAATGAAAACGAAGAAAAATCACAACGCCGGAAATCTCTCCAAATACTTTGTACTCGTAGCATAGAGTACTTAAAAACGAAGCTATCATGGATTTCTACTAAATAGAATTAATAATCAACAATTAATAATAATCTTCGACAGCCGAGAAGAAATTTTAAAATAACAAGCAGTATGACACACAATAAAATATACCTGCACAAAGATCGGCTAAAATAAAATTGCACACACAACGCTTGGCAAGAGAGGAATCTTGCATCTACCTCAACTACATATTGCGTTCGAACTTGACTGTTTATTACGCAATGAAAGCATTTGACTAGCATTTGTTGCACATTAATACATGTTCCGTGCCCATAAGCATATATCTACACGGAAACTTATCGACTATGCAAATATATTTGAGGAATTACCCGTTGTTCCATTAAGCGAAAACGCGTAATACGAGAGCAACAACGAAAGAATCCAGGAATAAACCGCTAGCAATACGAAACACTCAGATTTAGAGATAACTTCTAATGGCTGTGATCTGATTGGTAATAGGCAGAGAATAAGTCTTAATAGACAACCAACTTGCAATACCGGCATTTAAAATTAGATTAAATAATATATAATTTTAAAAAACCCGGGCGGCCACTGACTGGTCAAATGACGCGATATATGTTTATCTAATCACAAGAGTGCTGACAAGTTCCATCGTAGGAGAGCTCATACAATATATATTCAACTTGAATCGACTCAAGTTTCTTCTCGCAAAATACTCGACCGTTATGGCAACTCAAATTATAACGTGGACTTTCCCTGGAGTAACACCGACGAGAAGAGGCAGAAGCTATAGAGGAATGGGCATCATAGGCTGAGAAATAAAAACTGGACGGATTGAATGAAATTAAGGAAGGGAACGGTTGTTCGACTGTCTTTTGTTTATACTATATCAAAAAGTCTTCAAATCAAATAATACCCGTGACTTTGGATGCGATCTATTGTTCGGTAATTTCTAAGATAAATTCTGCAAGATACTGAGTATAGGTTGATAGGTGACTCACAACTACAAATCCCAGGAGAAAAGATGATGTTTCACAAGCATGTCCCTGACACCCTCTCTCAGTGGCTGCTTAGACGCTCCAGCTGATGAGTAGTCGAAGGTACTCGAGAGGCTGTTGGTGCTGCTGCTGCGTCGGAACGAACGTCTGCTCACGGCACCGCTCCCTAGCACACTGATGCGGGACCCTGTCATGTCTTCAGTTGACCGTCGCGGTTGTGGCAGTTCCCACTCAGGGTTGAGGTTGAAAGGGAACGCTGCAAGCACCCTGAGCTCGCACTTGATTTGAACCCATCCTGGGGAACGCATGAACGACCAAGGCTGATACCACTTCTCGACCACGGCAGACTGCGAGCACACGCACTCTAGCCAGAGGTGCAGTACCTGCAAAAATGGCATCGAGTATGGTTCTTGCCTTTAGAATAGTAAAATGTTTATTAATTTGTAATTTATATCAAATCGGGGTGTTAAATTTGCCACCATTCTACTTAGGTAGTGAGATTTAGGTTACTTTAGTTCAAGATAATTCCTTGTCGTCTGGCAGTAAAAGCCAGTTTAATTCATCGACAATGCCGACTCAATGCCGATGCATCTGAACTTAACTAATACTCACGATAAAACAAGATATCAAGTAATAAGAATAATTTTAATTCTTCAGTCAAGCAAGTAAGTGAAAGGACACTATGCTAATAATTAAAGATTTTCAAAGTCCACAACAGAGAGTCACAAATAAAAAAGACTCGACTTGAAATCGTTTCGAAGTTACGAATAATAGGGGGAAAAAGATTAAAATCTGGAATCCTCAATAATTCCTACGCAAATGAAGGAACCGAATGCAACGTCCATTCAATAAGATGATGACTACAGAGTTTAAAATGATTCTAAGCCTGGATTCTCCGGAATTGCCTTTGTTAAATGAAGGTCTTGGATCACAAGCATAAAACAATACCTGTTCATTGAGGCCCATGCAGACGAGGGACCTCAACTTGACGTCCATCTGAGCGTGCGCGGCGTTATGGCTCGCGTTGACGGCCTCGATGCAGCGGTAGAGAAGCTCCTCAGGCTGCAGGACCTTAGCGTCCTGGTCCAGCCGGAACGTGCGGCACAAAACCAGCCGTGAGTACACGGACGGGAAGTCGGGCGCTACTTCGCGGTTAGCTGCTTCTTCCAAGAACAGCCATGGATGCCAGACACCCCCGCCTGAGAGTTATAGCTTTCAAGTGGTTGTATCTAAATAAAGCACGTTTCTATAAATGCAAGCAATAATAGCAACTTAAAAATACTACGACGCCAATTCCCCATGAGAAAAACGTGGCTTAATTTTCCTCATATTTTGTTAAATATGGTAAACAGAAGCATATTAAAAAAACCATTCAGTCCGAAATAAGTCACTGATTGTAACGGCCTCGTACCCAAGAGAGGAGACCTCCTCATGCCGTGCAGGAGAAGAGCTTTAATGGCCGAACAGAGGCCGCCCCGCACGAGGTCGGTGACGTGGGACGTGACCGAGTCGTCCCCAGCGACGCTGTACTGCTTGCTGCGCTCGTCCAGTACCGTTACGAATTTCGCCGGGAACCAACCTGCGCCGAGCTAACATTAGCGTCGGGGCTACTTGGGTTTACATATTAATTGTGTTTATATGTTAATTGTGTTTACATGTTACTTGTGTTTACACGTTACTTGTGTTTGCATACTACTTGTGTTTACACGTTACTTGTGTTTACATACTACTTGTGTTTACATCCTACTTGTGTTTACATACTACTTGTGTTTATATGTTACTTGTGTATACATATTACTTGTGTTTACACATTACTCGTGTTTATATGTTACTTGTGTTTACATGTTACTTGTGTTTACATATTACCTGTGTTTACATGTTACTTGTGTTTACATATTACTTGTGTTTACATGTTACTTGTGTTTACATGTTACTTGTGTTTACATATTACTTGTGTTTACATATTACTTATGTTTACATATTACTAACAGATTGATGGTAAATAGTAACAAACGATCAAATTTTACACACAGAACGTTGTTCGCTCATTGATGTTTTTCAAAATTATATTTATTCATGATAATAGTATATCAATGTTGCTTGTAAAAAATCATATGGAGCATAAAGTTTTCATAAAATAAACGGCAACGATTCCATTGGAGATTTGTTAGCATAACTTCACACCTCGGAGGCCGTTGAGTTCGCCCACCCAGCAGTGCTCGTCGCGCTCCGAGATGATTGTGATGATGTCGTTCTTGCGGAAGCCAAGCTCGTCCTGGTCATGACGTTCAAAATCTGCATGGAAAATTGCATGAAAGGCTTGTGATATAAATCAAGGAAACATTTCTATCCGCTTACATGCAAGCACAACACGTAACTATTACTTACCGATATTTGATTTCATCATGAAAATAACTGTAAAGATAATAGAACAGTTAAACTGGTACACAAGTTAACACACCGAGCTTCCAGTCGTTGGATGATCGATTGTCGTTAAATCAAACGAGTAATGAAATGACATGAGTAATCACGTGATATTTAATAGATGAGCGACTCGTTGGATGAATGAAAGAAATATCATGAGTAATCCAGTGATATTCAAAATGATTTGTACCTAACAAAGCCTTGGCTCTTCGCCTCCTGGCGGCGGCGGTGGCCATAAAGCGCGGCAGGTCGCGGCTATGCGACGCGAGGCTGTAGTCCGGCACCAGCGAAACATGGCACAGCGACGGCTCCAAGCTCTGCATCAAAATAACATTCAATAAGCCTACTGTGCACGAAATGAATTCTTAATAAACTTAGCCATTAATCTGATAGCTGGAAAATATAAGATATTGAATTATTAAAGCATAGTAGAAGGTTTACTAGCGCTTCAGATAGCTATCCATTTCGCGCCAGAGGTAAAGTCTTCAGTTACGTCATAGGCATTTCATCTCTTCTGTCTTCCAGGCTTGCAGCCTGATCCATTTAGGCGTAGGGATTGGGCGGTAGATTCTTTCCTTGGCGGAGTGAGGGTCAGCTTCGACTTCATGTACAAACTCCAGTATCAACTATGCGTGGCTTGGTCTGTGTGATGGGCTAGGTGCAAATACAGTTTCGCGGCGTACGGCCGACAAGCGTTGCCATCATGAGATCATGCTAGATCTCTGGTACCGGTAGCAGGTTGCATTTTATCAAGTTTTGTCTAAGGTTGTCTGTTCTGAAGTTACTTCGCTGGTCCTCCCTTATCATTCTAGTGAGCATCTCGTCATGATCAAAGGCTGATGTGCTGGGGTGACAGTTCTGTCTGATATAGCTGTGCCCATGACACTCCGCTAAGACATACAGTGCTGTCAGGGGTACTAGGCCGTCGTCACAATATGGTATAAGGCGGCGCTCAATCAAGTAGCCACGAGTGAGGCGCGTTTGACCAATCCTCAGTCTACACAGCGCTACCTCCTTCTGACGGGATCGCTGATACAATGAGCTCCATGCTGATACGCTGTCATTGATAGTCCTCAGTTTATTGTCTTGCGTGTTCATCCACAACACGTGCCATATGTGGCAAACGCTTGCCCTGATGTGGCAGTAGTGGTATAAACGCCCTGATGTGGCGGTTTACTGTGTCCAAAACCAACATCTCAGTAAACTTAATTGTTGATATAAGAGCAGGAGGACCTTAGATATCGTTCAAATTATTACTTACGCGTATTAGTATTAGTTTTAGTTCAACGATGGTTCAGTAAAGAGACATGCTAGGAAAGTGACGTGCTATCTGGAGCACAGCTCACCAGGAAGTGACGTGCTATCTGGAGCACAGCTCACCTGGAAGTGACGCGCTATCTGGAGCACAGCTCACCAGGAAGTGACGTGCTATCAGGAGCACAGCTCACCTGGAAGTGACGTGCTATCAGGAGCACAGCTCACCTGGAAGTGACGTGCTATCAGGAGCACAGCTCACCTGGAAGTGACGTGCTATCTGGAGCACAGCTCACCTGGAAGTGACGTGCTATCTGGAGCACAGCTCACCTGGAAGTGACGTGCTATCTGGAGCACAGCTCACCTGGAAGTGACGCGCTATCTGGAGCACAGCTCACCTGGAAGTGACGCGCTATCTGGAGCACAGCTCACCTGGAAGTGACGAGCTATCTGGAGCACAGCCTCCCTCAGGTCGACCATGAGCTCCGTCTGCCTGACGTTCTTGGTGCGCACGTCGTCGTCTGCGTCGCCCAGCAGCCCCGCCAGCAGCCAGGACGAGCCGCTGTGGCTCAGTTCCCGCCTGAAAATAAATTATTCTGATAATTTGTGCACTAAACCTACTGAAAAAATGCATTTATATCCATAACTGTATTTGTGATTTTTGCAAATTAATCAACACGGAATGATTGTGAAAAGAATTATTTAAAATGCCAGCTCTTCTTCCAATTCGATTGATGTGGTTAAATATCAAGAGATTCCTTGGAATTTATCCAAGTTTATTGTGCACACGTCCTGATATGCTTTGCAGGTTCAAATTCAATATGCCAAAATTCAATCACTAATTAATGACATTGCATTAAGTAAAGATAATAGAGTATCGAAGCCTTCATGATCAATTCTTGATGTATAGGCGAAACTTTACAATTAGTGTTCATTTGATCACTTGTCGGTTAGTTAGGAGGATCCTTGGTTACCGATTAAGGTGCTGCTTGGGGAGATGCTGGGGCGGATGATGAAGGTTGATGAGGGTACCGTGCTCATGCATGATGGCGGCCAGTTGTTGACGACGCTGGGTCTCCACCATCACCTCACACACACCGCTGCTTACGCTCTCCATCATCTGCATCATCAGAGAGGTTTTCAGCCTACATCTGCACCCATCACTGTGATAAAAACACTACGTAAGTAATTGTCTTTCTAATGATACTCTTTTCACTTTTTTTAAAGGTACAGAGAGGAAAAAATCATCAGTAATGCCTAATTCATCTGCATGAAATTCAAACATTAGTACAGGACGACACGCCCTGCACTCCGTTAATTTCATTACTGGCAGCACTATCATCCATCAGCATGATACGATAGTATGAGCAATGGCTGCGGCCGTTGCGGAACTAGTATGGCTTACGGTGTATCTTAACGTGGTCTGCGACTTCGTAGCTCTGAGGCTGAGTATAGCTGAGCATTTTTATACAGAGCGTTCGCTACAAGGCTTGTTTAAGATCTAAATTTGTGGCCGACGGCTGCGCATCCCTTGTAAGCTCAACATACCAACTTATTATAATTAAAGCTAAATTTTCCCCTGCTGCTTATAGTACTTCATAAGGAAAACCTTACCTATACTATAAAATTACATGAACTGAACATGACTTGAACAAAATAATGTGGGATAAATGAAATAGTGTTCTTTTCTACGTCTATTTAAGAAGATTCGATTAGTTGAATAACATAAATAACAAAGTTAAGTTTAAGTAATGATCACGTGGCAGCCAGGAATGTTATGCCAACTTAATATACAAGATGACAACAAGACTCACTTTAATAAGGCAGTCAGCATCATCTAAATCGCGTGGGATGTCCGACAGAGCGTTGAAAATGTCCGCAGAATTGTCCAGAGATCTGATCTCAGCCTCTGTTGATATTTTTTCCAAGTTTTTATAGAAATTCAATGAGTGAATTAAAAAATCCATTAACTATGATATCTATGATATTGAATTAGACTCCGTCAATTTTCTGGAGAATTACAAGTATGCAAGGGACTACAAACATTTCACAATTCCATTTTCAAATCACAACAATTTTACGTATCCTATGAAGGAGAAAATACACACTTCCCCAACCGTGAACGAGATTAAATTGTAATTTTATAAGCAAATAACAAACTATATAAATCCAAGAACAATTCTTCCTGCACCACAGATGAAATTGTTGAAAATGTTATATCTAGGGCTAGAAAACTGAACTTAAATCAAATAAATAAAGAATCAAGTGATCACCTTTGATCTTGAGCATTGCAAGGGTAAGTTTGAAGAGCACAACGCTTCCCTCAGAGAAGAAAAGGTCCCAGGCACGCACGAGGAGTTTAACATGCAGCACTGAAGCAAAGACCGTCACAAACCAGTGCAGCGTGATGAGTGACAACTCGATGTCGTGCTCGGCGATCACTGACGCCAAGTTCGGCAGGAACGACAACACCAGGGACTGTAGGACACGCTGATCAGCCTGCACACCTGCAACATAACAGGAACTAACTTTCATCTTCTTGTTAACGAGAAAGATGAATTAGGGTAGACTCAGTCAACATTCACAATAATAAATGTCATGTACTTCCTCAGATGATGGCCACAGTTATTCAATGCAAGCAATCTTGTTCCTAGCACTGAAGTCACACAGATACCCAACTTCATTCAAAGTTGGTCGTAATTCAAAATGTTCGTAAAATTCTTTCACATATTCAGAATAAATTGTAAAGAACAGTCAATCAAATGTAATCCGGGGTTCCACTGTACTTTGCCATCCATGGAACATCATGCGAGGGACCAAAATAAAAAAAAATAGTAACGCAATCAACGCCAGTTTGGGGCGGCGGTGTCATAATTGAACTGATGAATAATGAGAGCTGTTTATGTTTTTGTCATAAATGACGACCGTACCAAAATTCAGGAAATAATTCTATTGATGATGCTTCTAAAAACAGATTAAGCACACCAATCGATTATATATTCATGGTATGTCAGCTTAGAATTGTTATCAGTTCAATGGAAATAGAAACTACTACAGAACTCAATTACTTCCGAAGATAGCAAATCATAGACCATACCAAAATGATGGCAAATACGTAATGCCACGTACCATGTAAACAATACATAATACCATGTAGCATGCAAATAAAACATAATACCATGTAGCATCACTAGCATGCAACTAATACATAATGTCATGTAGCATGCAGCATACCAACTGTTGCACATAAACATAAGCCATACAGGACCAACAGAAATCAACATAAGACAAGATAAGTTACCCATGAGAGTGGAGCTGTAGTAAGAAGCAGGCAAGAGATCCTCGACGATTGTGCACATCAGCCAAAAGGCATCTTCTTCCTCGAGGAAAAGAAGTAAATTGGCAGCTATCATGCCCATGCCCTGGCAGTAGCTGCAGTTAGTAAACAATTTAACGTGTTAATGAGTCATGTCGGCTGAAATAACACATTGCACATACATAACCATTCATCAGATTTTTGGAATTGGTTAGTTGAACAACCCAGATACAAAACAAGAGATGTTTTGGCCCAGTAATATTGCAGGAGTAGCTGAAATCCCATTTCCAGGTAAAGAAGGGACTTATGACGAATATTAGCGAACATAAACGCAAAGATAAAAGTTTCAGACATACCCAATGTCAGGGAAGAACCAAGCCATGGCTCTCAGCAAGCGACGTAGCCTGGGCACGCCTGTTGCATTCGCATGAGAAAAACAAGCATTGCTGGGCAGGGTCCTTAGAAGGTCTTTCTCGATCTGCAAAAAGAAGACTGAGATGACGAAAAAATCTTATATAAACTATATTAAATAATACATTATGACATTAAATATTATAATCAGATTAGAATTTCAATTAAAGATTAATCAATATTTAAATAATAAAATACCAACAACTTATTACCTGAACTGTCCGAATGTCTTTTCAGTGACACTCAGTAAGAATTAATTGAGTAAAATGGTCTCAATAAGATTTGGTTCGAATAATTGTCCAAATGATATAATAAGGAGGAATAAAAAAGTGGTAACCCTAACTAGTAATTATCAAGATAGCCACGGTGAGATATCATTACAGGAATAGATCAGGTAGCTACATCGACACTATTGCAAGAGGACGAGCGAGTGTCGGAGCCGGCAGAACATAAGTAGATGAATATAGTAGAGGTTGTGCTGCGACTGCAGTAAATAGAGATAGGTCCGCTACTGCCTCACGGGATGCTTTAGGAGCTTATATAGTCTTACTACAATGACGTCACGGGAGGTGACGCAGGTAATGCTACTGAAGGTATGGGTGGTGACGTAAGACAACACCTGACAGAACATAGGGCGCGCATGCAAGCATTTATTAGGCTTTGTTTTCAATTTGCAAACGATATTTACCAAGATCCTGGGAAGTATTATCAAAATTTGAAAACCATGGCAAGAATGAACATTATTTTCACAATCGAGAATTAGAATCTACATAATGATTCATATATTCCAAGTTTGGACGTTTGCTGAAAACAAATCTAATAAAGGTTCCTGAACAGTTGTATTATTAAAGCCACTGCAAGACCTCGCCTGTTAAGCATAACGTATTGTACACGGTTTTGAGAGAAGCATAGTTTGTCATTTGTAAGTCAATGTAAAGCTGACAAACCTTTGCCTTTCAGTCTTTTATCAAGGTCAGTTTTATAAGATGTAAATAATTGTATAAAGTATGATGTAACACAATAAAGTTATATAAAGCTGTAAATACTGTTCCCACATAATTTGTCTCAGAATTTCCTCCATCTTTGCCCAGACTTCACAGCATTTGGATAAGTGACAGTAAAAAAGACTTTTAAGTAATTTGATAAGCGAACATAACAACATCACCTGTCGGTTGGTGGAGAGAATGTCGCTGCTGGAGGCTGACACGAGTTCCTCATAACGTACCTTGGCCGAGCGCTTCTTTTTCATGGAACCTATTGAAGCAATGGCCAGAATAATAAATAGTTGCATGGAAAAATGTATACCATTGATGATATATCAATAGAAAACTAATTATAGTTGGTATGAACCATGATCGTGATTGTTGACAGATAAATTGTTACAAATAGCAACAGTAGCAGGGCATACAAATAAAACAAACATTACCTTACAAGGGTAACTCAAAATATAGAATTATTCTACATAATTTGACAAAAATGTTATATTAAATATCATGAAAGCATTACTGAATAATAAGCTACAACACCATATTAACATACAGGTTTCAAGCAAAGTAATTTTTGTCCGCGTCCACTTCAGGGCAAGTACAAAAAGCGATCCAAATCAAATAGTGCTTCATGCTGCAACAGGCTTAGGTGAGTTGAATTGGTGACTATTTTTCTGTTCACATTTCATCTGCATTACCGGTATTTACTTACCGGTAATTGGATTGCATTAACATAATTGTCATCACTGCCGGTGCTTCTTAGCTTAGTCACCACCAGAACCTGTCCCTCCTGCAAGCCACCACCAGAACCTGTCGCTCCTGCAAGCCACCACCTGAACCTGTCCCTCCTGCAAGCCACCACCAGAACCTGTCCCTCCTCCACTTAACTCACCTGCAAGCCGCATCCAGACCTGAGGTCTGAACGAGTGTGGCACGCCCTGCCTGACGAGGGAGCAGAGTTTGTCTGTTCGTGGCAGTGTTGCGGGCACAGCATCCCAGCACACCTCACCCTCCCCATCACATGAGCTTAGGTTCAGTTCAGCAGCCCACCTTAACCTTGTTATGCACATGCACATAATATAAGCATTTTATACGAGTGGTAATAAAACAAACTGTTTTTATCAGTAAAGTCATACATATGTCTTGTTTTATTATGAAATGCATTAGGTAAAATTCTAAATAACTTACACTTATATTATAAGTCAAAAATTCAATTAGAAAACAAATAAGATAAATTTTGAGAAAAATTAAGGATTCTCTATAGTATATGTTGCACCTAATCTCAAAATAGAAGAAACCCAGCTAAGAGAAATCTGTAACTTAACTTACTTCACATTGTTGGATAATCTAAAAATTTATAACAGATGTATTCAGTGCAGTATGAGTGACATGAAGGGGCAGCTATAGCCAATTAGCTTGAAACTCACTTGTGTAAAGGGTCCTCGGTGAGAGGCTGACTGAGCAATTTCCTGCTGCTCTGCTCAGGCCCGTCTTCTTCTTCAACTTTGTAGCCAAACTCATCAAATCTACAAGAAATATACACTGTTTATTCAACAGAACCAAGAAAACAATAACTTCATTGACTAATAATTAAGATTCACCATAGGAAAATTTGAAAATCAAACAAGCAATCCAATTGTCTACTTAAGCTAAAACAGTTTGAAGGGTTCGTGACACATTAATGATTAATTTAGCTTTGGCTAATGATACTGCCTATGAAACTGTAGCTGAAGCAATCATTTCATCAAATGATAGTCAGCAAAATACTACAAAGGGAAATCAATATGAAGTAACCAGTCACCGGTATTCAGGCTGATGGTTGGGGTCCTTGTGGTGATCCAGTGAGGTGAAGGAAGTTAAATCTTGAGGCCACATGGAAGGAGTTACAGCAGAGAAAGGTTTAGACAGACAAGGTGGAGTACCTCCACGGGGCTCCCTTTGAGAGTCTGCAATGAAGGAAAAACTTATAGATAGAGCAAAAGTCTTGGGTGCAAATAAAATTATGGTCAGGCCTCTAATGAAAAAGTTTATAAAAAATAATACAAACATTTACATATCCCTAATACAGCAAATGTTAAAGGTGAGCATTTTACTCTCCCAATAGCATGTGGCACACCAAAAATATTTTTTCAAATATTATCTCAGGGTTCAGTATAGATTTTTTTCAATTTTGAACAATGGAAATCAAGTCAAATTCTATATGAATGAAGAAATTACACATAGTACTTGTATTAAAAAATACCTGCATCAGAACTTTTAGAGCTTGGATAGAAGACTTCATCATCAGAGGCATCATCTTCATCAAGAGCGGTCTGGAGACGAGCAGCAAGATCACTGCCATGACAGTATCCTTCAGGAGGACGATTGCTGAACATTCTAATGATAAAGCTTGTGGCGCCACTATTATAGAAACAGTAATATTAAGCTATAAGAAATCCTAAAATTGTTTACAATTACTTCATCATTTTTTAATATAAGCAAAAATCTGTCAATTATTTGAAGATGCTTCAGCTAAAATTAAAGGGCTGTGTGTTTAGTTAGCATTGAGATGTTGCTTATTCAAGTCAGTTATAAATTACTATGCATCATTCCTACTCTCAGAGAAAAATGACCCACAATTTGAAAGAATTCAAAACAATTTTGCTCTGCAGCAATTTTCTGTGGAGCTCTGTAATAATTTAAACTATAATTAACTAATTAACTAAATAAGGATATTCAAGAAATTGTGTAAATGACTCATTGCAAGTAACAAAATAATATGAGCTAAACTATTCTGATGCAATGTATTTTCATTGTTTCCCATAACCAGCATGTTATATAATCAACCACTCACCACTGTAAGGCTTTAATACCTTTCTGACATGTTCACAATGCTTCTACATCTCACAGCCAGGAAAATATGCATTCAAACCACGGCAAGTGATTCCTGCAATACTTATAAAATTGTTTGCATTCAGCTATTTTTACTGTGCTTTGTCTGCAAAAAGTATACTTTTTTTCCAGGACATTACATTTTCTTAAAGTTCCCTTACAGCATAAGGTATGTTTCTGTGAGCTAGTGGCTGAACCATTCTTTCTTTTCTCTCCTTCAGCAGTTTGATAAAGTTGATTTTTCAGTTATTCCCAGATGTCATATATTGTTTGCAGCATGTATTGCATTGCATTGTGATAATTTATGTTGTAATGTTTTCTGTTCTTCTGAGTGCAAAGCTTTTCTGAGTTCTCTCAGCCATAACAATTTGCAAGTATAGGTCAGGTAGATGATACAGAATTGGGTGCTACCACTAAGGTCAGAGGCAAGGACAGGCAAGTCGGGTAAACCCGGTATATTCCGACATCGTGGGTAATTCCAACACTTCTCAACTTTTTCCTTTATATTAAGCTTTGTCTTAGTTCCACGCATTAGTTGATGGTTGAAATAGTGACGTCATACTATTGCATGCCATACTATTGCCCAAACACTAGGTCTAGGCCGTCTGGCGGGAAAATGTTACGATCCAAAGAGAAACAGTGCATGTCACCCAGTGAGAACATCAAAAAAACATGCCAAAGTTGATAGTTAACCTTGCTCTACCAAATAGTGATAAACTGTTTGTGTAGAAAGAATATTATGGTTTGAGACTTTTAAATAAGTCTGTGAATATATTAGGAATCCTTTAAGTATACTTGTATTTGCTGGTTTCAAGTGGTAAATAAATTAATAGATGATTAAGTTGGGCTATGGTTTTAGACACATAAAAACTAATTCCAACACAGCTTGGAATTAGACATGCACAGCTTGTTCTGAGCTGTGTCCAAATATTAAAATTTTCTTAATTAAAAGCTTAATAGCTCTTAATTAATAGCTTAATCAAAAAATTAAAATTTTTTAATTAAGCTCATTTTGAGCTGTGTCATATTCCAATACAGCTCACACAGGGCACTGGAATTACAAATTAAAAGAGTTTGAAGCGCTGCCAAACGTCTCACAATATGCCAAATCTAGTCACACACAGCGTCAGAATTCAGGGATTTTGTAGGTTTGAATTCTAAAGGCTTTTAGATAAATATGGCAACAGTTTGTGACGTTTCATCATTGCTGGCATAGTGTGGTGTTTTGAGAGTGACGTAAACCAATCAGAAGTCGAGTTGCGCATACGGTAATATTTTATAGCCATTCATTTCTTGTTACGTCCTTAATGTGTCGGAATATAGCGCATTTACCCTAGGGTAAATGCGGTATATTCCAACACATTAAGGACGTAGGAAAAAATGAATGGCTATAAAAAAATCACCGTATGCGCAACTCAAGTTGTTTGCTTTACGCCACTCTCAAAACACCGCACTACGCGCCAGCAACAATGAAACATCACAAAATGTTGCCATATTTATTTAAAAGACTTTAGAATGCAAACCAACCAAATCCATATATTCCTACGCTGTGTGACTAATTTGGCATTTTGTGAGACTAATTCCAGCCGCACTTCAAACTCTACTAATTTGTAATTCCGATCCTCTTGTGTTTGAATTCCGATCGCTATGTGAGCTGCATTGGAATACAACACAGCTTGGAATTAGAACACTATTGAATATTGAACACTACTTAATTAGGCTTTTAATTAAGAGCTATCAAGCTTTTTATCATGAAAATTTTAATTTTTGCACACAGCTCAGAACGAGCTGTGTGTGTCTAATTCCAAACTGTATCGGAATTAGTTTCTGTGTGTCTAAAACCATATCTTAATTTAACCCTTTTGCGGGTAAGTTACCATATATGGTAACTAAAATGGGAGGAAAAAAAGGCCCCCCACATCACCCACATTGCTTGGGGCAGCCTGCCAACAACCTCCAACCAATCACAGATCGTGTATGAGTTACATCATGTATGACGTAGCGCTCTGGCCCACTCAATCGCCTGTGTGAGCTGACTTACAAACCAAGTACTCTGGACTCGTCTGGAGAAATGGCAAAACAGCATTTTGGGCCCTCATTGTATTCAATTTAGCAGCTCTAGCCCATGATGAACTGTAGGTAAGGCCATGATAGTTGCTAGTAGTATCATGGTTAAAAACTTGCTTTATTGCCTAATTATGATGCCAATTAGTTGAAGCAAATGCAAGATGGGGAAATAAGATGGTGAAAAATATTGTGATCATATATGAGCATAGGCCCGCCAATGCTTAGAGATGAAAGTGACTATGTTTGGTCATATGCCTGCTAAAGGTAAATTTCTACAGCGCTTGGTAAACATGTTTGTCAGCCCTTAGTGGTTAGCGGTACCGTCAACCGGGGCTACTTGGGACAAGCGGGGCTACTCGGGACAGGCCTCCAACACGGCGTAAAACTGTTGTAGTAGCGAAAGTAATTGGAATATTGCAAAACTAAAAATAGTGGCGTAAACGTCAACATTTTTCCTATCTATGTAGCATAAAGGAAGTCAAAAAATACTACATTTACTTGCTTTAAAAATTCCTGAAAAAAATGGTGAAAAACTATATTTTGTAGAGTTACAACTGCTAAGGTATGTAGCAAAAAAAATATTCGCCGTATCAAAAAATTTTAATTACGTAAAAGTTGCACCCAGGTGTCGGCTTGAAAACGTAATTGACAGAATTTGCCTATCTCATTCCAAAAAGAAATGGCAGCCATTTCCGCACGGCTGGGCTACTCGGGACACCCCCCCAGGGCTATTCGGGACACCCCCAAAAACGCATTTACAGTAGAACCTCAGTTAGCAAAGGCTCCAATTACAAAAAAAATTGATAAACTAAGAACATTGATCACATTTTCCTTGCTCAGCAAAAAAATTTCACTTATCAAAAAATTAGTGCATCATCGGTCATTACAAAATTGTGCATAGCATGTCATGTATAGAATTTTGCACCAGGCATCATAGAATGAAAAGTAATTGACCTAAACTATGATTTATTTCTCCAAAAGATACGTTGGTTGTCATTGAAACATTCCTTTCTGTTTCAGGTATGTTTTTCACGATATTTTTTACCATAGTAAATTCACTTAACCCAATTAAAATGTGAAATTACGAGCCATCCTGTGAGCTTACAGATACAGAAAAAATGCTATAAGGCTGCTGATATGAAGCTTGCAGTGGACAAGGTTGTTGTAAATGCTCAATGGCATGTTCATGGATACAGTAATATCACATCAATAATACAGTAATATCACATCAATCAATAATACCATACTGTCAACTGGGGTGACTTGGGCCATGTTTTTGATTTTGTTTTGCAAACAAAAGCAGGGTCATAAAGGATGGCCAAAGTCACTCTGGCGTTTATGACCTTGTTTATGACCCTGGCGTTTATGACCCCAGCATTTAAGACCCTGTTTTTGTTTGCAAAACAAAATCAAAATCAAAAACGTGGCTGAAGACATCCCAGTTGATGGTAATTAATGTTTATGGTAATATCATCAATAAAGGAAAAACAAGTAAAAATCACTGAAAATGTCATTTATTCTACCTCTACATCATCTACAATGAAAGAGGAGGACTTCAGAGTACTGTTAGTCTGTTACTGTTAGTAATGGATGAGTAAGCTCTGCATGCTTCAAATGTTTTAAAATGAAGTTTTATTCCAAGTGTCCCGAGTAGCCCCGTTCGATGGGGCTACTATGGGGCTACTTGGGACACTCTTTTTTTGCTTCTGGCACCTTACGAATAGCATATGGAATTTTTTTTAAAATGCCATTTGATAGCCCTCGCAAAGAGCTATAAAATGAGCCTAAATTTGTTTATGAAATGTTTCATGCCATAATTCATGGTAAGAAGTTATAAAAGAAAAACATTCAAAAATGTTCCGAGTAGGCTTAGCCCCGGTTGAGTGTTGACGATATGTGTTATAATATATATGCAAAAAAGAGCAATCAAGTTGTTTTTACCATTAAATAGTAAACTTTCAATGTCAAAATCAGCAAATTTTTTGTACCTTAAGCCGACAAGGCTCTAGGTATATAGGATTACTTCATTAATTGTGATTTATTATTTATTTATGAAAATTTTTTTAAAAATGCTTACGAGTAAATATATCTTAGAATTGGTCATAGTTTCAAGTACAATCATCAAATATTGCAATTTCATTGAATTTCTATGTCTGCCCGTGAAAGGGTTAATCATCCTCCTATTAATTTATTTACCACTTGAAAGTTGAAATCAGCAAATACAACTTACAAGTATACTTAAAAGATTCCTAATATATTCATAGACTTATTTAAAAGTCTCAAACCATAATATTCTTTCTACACAAACAGTTCATCACAATTTGGTAGACTGGTAGAGAAAGGCCAACTATTAACTTTGACATGTTTTTTTGATGTTCTCACTGGGTGACATGCACTGTCTCTCTTTGGATATCAACATTTTCCCGCCAGACAGCCCAGACCCGGTGTTTTGGCAATAGTATGGCGAGCAATAGTATGACGTCATAATTTCAACCATCAACAAATGAGTGGAGGTGGAACTAAGACAGAGCTTAATATAAAGGAATAAAGTTGAGAAGTGTCGGAATTACTCACAATGTCGGAATATACAGCGTTTACCAGCTAGTATGGAATATATCTACTGGGCGAGCCGTGACTGAATTTTTCGAGCCGTGGTTTTATGGATTTGCCAGCCGTGATTCCATTTCTAAGAGCCGTGATTCTATTTCACCGAGCCGTGAATTCCATATC